ATCCATGAATTTTTGGTTTTCTTCATTCTTCTTTGCTCTGGATGAGGAGAGACCCATCGTTGCATCTAGATGGCAGCTTGCAAGCTTTTAAGATCCCAGTTGCTACTCACCAAAGCAGGACGTGGAACAATGTTTGGTGTAGTATGCCAATAGAGCTTGATGTCCCCTGCGACTATGGTCCTGAGCCCACAGGTTCAACTACTCAGTCCCTCTGGGTAGCTGGCTATGACCAAGCAGTGACTACCACCTTGCCTCTTGTCAGCTCTACTGTACACCTGGGAATTCAGATCATACACATAAACTTATAGGACAGTTGTCTGCCAACCCTATACATGTTCTTGGGTACACTCCCTACTTCACAGACATACCTGTTAGTTCAGCCTGTCCACTCATCAATCCACCCATATACCCATGTTTGCCTTCACTGACAACGCAGTACTATATGTAGAAAAGGGTTCATCTTTGTAAGCAACACATCTTGATTGCATGTTCGGTCAATTTCAGACTGCAGAAGTCGATAAAAATCTTCAATTTCCTCATCTTTGGCTTTGGTGGTTGGAGCATAAATTTGAATAGTAGAAGTAGTAGCGAGTCTTCCTTGTAGACGTATGAAATTATCCTATCACTGACAGCATTGTACTTCAGGACAGATCTTGAAACATCCTTTCTGATGATGAATGCCATGCCATTCCTCTCCAATTTGTTATTCCTGGCATAGTAGATCATATGGTTGTCTGATTCAAAATGCCCAAAACCCATCCATTTCAGCTCACTAATGCCTAGGATATCAATCTTTATGCATTCCATTTTATTTCTGACAACTTCCAATTTTCCTAGATTCATATCTGTACATTCCATGTTCTGATTAATGGATGTTTGCAGCTGTTTCTCCTCAATTTGAGTTGTGCCATGTCAGCACATGGAGGTCCTAGAAGACTTGCTTTATCCATATTATTAAAGTTGGTTCTACTCTGATGAAGCAGCTCTTTCCCAGTATTATTTTGAGTGCCTTCCGACCCAAGGAGCTCATCTTCCTGCACTGTGTCAGACAGTGTTTCCAAGCTATTCATAAAGTTACCCAGTAATATATCAGACAGTGTTTCTCTGCTATTCATAAGGTTTTCCCTGGCCAATTTTTGAGAAATAGATGGCCTCCTCCTTCTTCTTAGTCTGTCTCAGTCTGTAAGCTGTGTTGAAACCTGTGTACCATGTGCAACTGTGCTTGCGTCTGAAACACCAGTGGTACAGCCTCAAGCCTCACAGCAACGTATAAGCCCCACAGGATGACAAACTGACAGACAAGTTTGTCTCCCTTAGCTGCTGGAAACCTCTGGGCCCTCCCCTTACCTAATTCCTACCTGGAACCTGCCACTTTGTGGTCCTTGGCCACTCCCCCCTTTCCTGGCTCTAGGCGGCTGGGGCGTAGCCTTGCCTCCCTCTCCTTTACCTGGATCCTGCTGCTCCTGAGGTCCCTGGCCTCTCCTGCTCCCTCCCTTTCCTGGCTCTAGGGGGCCACCAGAGCTCCTTACAAATAACGCCAGTTTATTCCAGATATAAGGGTTCCTCTTCCTTCTCTACTTGCAGACCTTCACAGCTTAGCTCCCCAGATGCTTTTGTTTTATGATGCGCTCCAGCCTCAAATTCTAGGCAGAGTAGTAGGAAAATGTCTTTAGATTTAGGATTTATTCTGTATTAGCCTATACACAGCACAATACATAGCCTATAGTTGAAGCTCAATAAATAACTGGTGAATTGGTATCAGGCTTTGAGTTAGGAGGGCTGAGTTCCAGTCCCAGTTCCAGAATTATATGACCTTTGGGCAAATCAATAATCATTTTTGTTTCTGCATTTCTTCATCTGTAAAATGATGTTAAATCTTGTCCTCTTGTCTTGAGTAGCCCACAAGACTGTGGTATAACACAAGAAAGCATTTTGGATAGTAGACCACAAAAGGAAATATAAATTCTAAGTGTTATAGCTTAAATTAATTAAAAATGAAGACAACTGTACTTTATATCCTAGGAATTATGGCAAGCCCAATCTTAACAACAACAAAAACTCCCTCTGTCCATGTCTGTAGTCACTGACCCAAGTCTTGGGTTCAGGGCACCTTGTCTCTGAAGCAAGATTCATTCCCTTTTACTCTCTAGGATTCCTCTGGCCACAGCTCCCTAACTGGTTGGTCTAGGCACTCAAGAAGGAAAAGCAGCAGATACCTACCTATGGCAAAGATGGCAGCCTGTGCAAAGTCAGCAGACACATCAGTGCAGTACCCTCGAAGCTCTTCCAACACCTGCTGCACATTCTCATCGTTTACCAGCTCACACAGCACTTCCACCTTCTGCAGTTTGATGTAGTGGGGCTCCGAGTAGGAGCAAAAAAACTTCTTGTAATGGCTGCTAAAGTGACCTGGCAAACTATGCAAGATCTGGCGTACATGGCAGAGGGCAGCAAAACAGAGCTCGCGGCTCTCTGAAGAACATGCAGCAAGCAAAGGTCCCTTGACCCGTACAAGCACATCCTTTTGTACATGAGGAAAGTTTTTGGCCAAGATCAGAAAGAGTTTGGTGGCCCCCATCACCACACCTGGACTACTACTCTTGAGAAAGTTATCTAATAGATTGAGAATGTCAAACAGCTCCTCCTCACTGCGGGGCTGGTAGCGTAGCAGAAAATTCAATACTTCACCCTGGCCCCACTGGTCCAGTTTTGACATTCTATCCAAAACAGAAAACAAAAACATTGTTTTAGCAACAAAATGAAGACCATCTCCATGCTACTGTCATATCACCAGTTGGCTGTACATCCTAACAAGGGGAGAATTCTTAAAAATAGGCTCCACCATAAATTAATCTTTTTTTGTACTATTTAAAGTTTACATAAAATAGGCTTTAATGTCAAGATAAGCTGATCATACAAATGCACACTCATCTAAGACCAAAGACATGATCAGCATACCTGGATCCAGAGTCTCTACATTTTAAGGCAGCATAAATGGCTTAGTTTTGGGGACAGAATTGCTGTAGAGGAGGGTAGAACCTATCACCACAGCTAATTGTTACAGTTCACTTTATATTCTCTCTCTCAAAAGTTGTTAAAAGACTCTGGGTAGAGTGGGAGAACAAAGTGGAACAAAACACAAAATCATAAAAAAAAAAAAAAGACCAGGTTTGCTGGTCTGATCGAGCCTGGTGAGACCCCTGAGACTATAGGCCTAGCTACCCTTCAGGTTTGGAATTGAACTCACTCCTGTGGCTTCCAGCCAAACAAAAGACAGGCATATGGGTGAACATTTATATCAGGTAGATATACTCCTTGGAGCAATAGATCAATAGTGGGAGAACAGAAGAGCAGTATTTGCATAGGGTGACAGCTGGGGGCTGGGGGTGGGGTGGGAGTGCAGGGGAGGGAAGGACACAGGGAAGAGGTAACTACAGGAAGAAGTAGGAAGAGAGCTGTTACACTGTAGGGAATTGCAGTCAATGTCATGAGACAAAATGTGTATAAACTGCTGTATGGAAAGTGAATTTGTTCTATAAACTTTCACCCAAATTACAATAAAAATTAAAAAAAAAAAAAAAAGTTGTTCAAGACCTCTTCTTAATTCTACATATCAATAAGATCCCACCAGGATGCAGATCCCACAATAAAAAGAGCACTGAGGTATCCGAACCGATTTAAGAGATGATGGGCAATGGGCTTATTGATGACAACGCCCCCTTCATGCTTCAGAATTTCCTCTAGAGACCTCAGGCAGTTCACAACCACAATTGGATCCTGGTCACGCAACAAACTGTATAACTCATTTACCAGGGTACCATCTACAAAAGAGAACAAAGATCTTGGGTGAAGGAAAAACGCTTCAGTATCAAAGCACCAGAGCCAGAGTAATAACTAGGCTTTTACAAAAAGACAAAATGACAAAGGCAATAACAAAGTAGACCACAACAAATCCTCACCTCCAGCCTGATCTATATAACTAATGCGAAGGAACTCAATGGGCCTAGAAGAAAGGACTTCTTTAATCTCAGAAAATGTCAGAGTCATGCATCCTCCTTAAAGACACATGTATTATATTTTCTACCAAAGCTACATAATCTTTTACAAAGTCATATACATTATAGAGACTCAAATGAATACTGATCATGATGGGTTACACTGAAACTTACCCACTTCAGAGTCTCCATGAAGATTATGCATTTTGGCACAGCCAAGGACTGCCACCCTCCTGACATATGAAGCCTTATCCCGTAGACCATTGAGAATAGGCTGTTGGATATATTCCTGCACACCAGGCATCCTAAACAACAAATACTAGAGTAGCCAGTTGCTGAAATACTAGTTTTGACATAAATCAACATGTATTATACTTAACAGAGGATTTAGTGGATGTCTGAATGTGCATCTCTCAGTTTATGAAGAATTAAGAGAAAGGTTCTGTTAAACTCAAAAAGTCATAATTTGCCTTTTCAATTGAAATAATGCTGCAAAGACAGTACCAAACCGAAAAATCCAAACCTGTTGCTGTCAAGTTGATTCTGACTCATAGTGACCATATAGGCCAGAGCAGAATCACCTTGTAGGGTTTCCAAGGCTGGCTGTAATCTTTACGGAAGCAGAATGCCACATCTTTCTCCCACAGAGAACCACAAACCTCTTTGTTAGCAGCCAAGTACTTAACCATTGCACCACCAGGGCTCCTTACAAAAGCAGTACAAAAGATATGTACATAACTGTGTCTAGAAATTTTTGACCAAAACCAAGGACTATTTCACCAAGAGTGAGAATACAAAACTATCACCAAGAGTGAGAATAGAAAACTGCCTTTAACAAAACTATGATATGATTTATTAACCCAAAACAATGGCACAAAATCTGAGTTTAGGGTACAATCATGTTTCCCCAAGTATTAAGGAAATCAAATAAACTGGCCTCATTAAACACTTGGCCCAGGTCCTCCTGAATTAATCAGCCACTGAGGAAGGAGCAGAGGAAGAGGATACTCACCTGAGGCTACACATGCTTCGTAGTGCTAGCCCTCGGACCATCGGGTTGGGGTCCGAGCAGTCTTTGCACAGTGTATTGATGGCAAGGAGAGCCAGATCTGGTTTCAGGGGAGCATATGTACACATGTACAAATAAACCAACTTCTTTTGAACAATATCTACAGTGGCACTGGCCTTCACCATTTCCATGAAAACACTGGACACGTCCAATCCCTGAGTCATATGCCTGAAAACAAGACACATGACAGAAGAAGTAAAATACAAAATCCCCAATCTACCAGAGGAAGTTTTATTTACACATGCCTTGCTTATCTAATCACTCTGTGATCTCTTAGAGGAAAGCAACCAAGCCTAACCTTGTCTATTACATTACACAATACTTTATATCTTGGGCCCACAATAAACATTCTCTTTCTATCATATTCAACAAACACTTATTGAACCACTAGAATATTCCAGTGAAATTGAGCTTTTCTATTCCAGGGATATATGTCTTGAAGGTGGAATGGTCTCAGACTGCTAGGAGCTCAAAGTCTAGTAAAAAGCCAGACAAGACCATCCCTAATTACACAAGATGGTACAGTATTTTAACAAAAGTAATATACAAAGTGCAGGGGGAATCCAGAGGACTGATACTGCAGGAAGTCAACAAAGGTTCACAGAGGAAACAATACTTTGGTTGAATGAGCAGGATCTCACTAGGCAGACGTGATAAGAGAGGTTGTGATTCACGTCATGAGGGATGTAGACAAGAGCAAGAATGGTTTTCTTTTGAGAGTCTATAAGTAAGTGGTTGAATTAGGTTAGATGTTTCTTGGGTGCTGAGATAAGAAGCTTGGACTTTATTCTGTTCATTCACTGGTCTCCTATTAGAATCAGTTGGAATGTTTGTTAAAAATGCAGAAATCTGGGTTCTACCTCACCCTACCAAAAATATTTCTATTCTTCAAAAAGCATCCCAGAAGACTTTCGTGCACACTGTGTGAGAACCACAGCTATAGGCAACAAAGTATTCAGCTTTACATACCAAGAAAATTATTCTGACTGTAATGAGAATGCAAGGTGACCTACTGGTAAGCTACTGCAATCGCCTTGGTAATGAAGGCCTGAACCAGAACAGCAGTGCCAATAAAAAAGAGATCTATGAATCCATACCATGTGATATGAGAAGAACCAACTGTCATCAAAGTTGACTCCCAAGTTTCTTTATGGCTTGGTTGACTTGATGGTGACATTCAAGACAAATATATGCTGAAGAGCATGTTTGGGGAGGAGGGATGGACATAGGAGCTATTTTGGACATATGTTTGATAAGCTAAGAAGCCCTGGTGGCACAGTGGTTTAAATGCCTAGCTGCTAACAGAAAAGTCAGCAGTTCAAACCCACTACTCCACAGGAAAAAGATGTGGCAGTCTGCTTCAATAAAGGTTACAGCCTTGGAAACCCTTTGGGGCAACTGCATTCCATCCAACAGGGTCTCTATGGGTCAGAATTGACTTGATGGTAAAGGGTGTGGTTTTTAGTTTTGATCTGCTATACAGGTGGAAATACCAAGCAGGTAATCGAATATGAGAGTCTGGGAGCTCTGGTGGCGTATTGCCTAAGGCATTTGACTGCTAACCAAAAGGCTGGTGGTTCAAATCCACCAGCCACTCGTAGTAAGGAAGATGGGGCAATCTACTTCCGTAGTGATACTGCCTTGGAAACCCAAGGAGGGGTCGCTATGAGTCGGGATCAACTCTATGGCAGTGAGAGTTGAGTTAGAAGCTAAGAAAGGAGGTCTGGACTACATATATTATGGATCCAAGAGTCCTTCTTATACAGCAAGTGTAATTGTCGAAGGCTGTCATACGAATGAAATCACCCAGGTGAGTAAAAGAAATCCCACAAGGACGCCTGCGATAGCACTCCAGAGAAACAAGATGAAAATCAAATCATAATAAGGCCATGTATGAAAGTTCATTTACTCACTCTATTTGGCCTGTGGTAAAGAACTCTGATGGGGACTGCAGTGGGGAAGCTAGGAGGCTAAGAAAGTCAGGCGATACCTAATCACTCGCTGGATGACATTCCGGTAGCGTAGCCTATCAGCCTGAATATGAGGATTACACAAAGCCTTCTTCAACTCTTTCACCACGTCCTCCGAGCCAAGGTACGGCATCTTCTCGAACACTCACGGAATAGCTCCCACAGTTCCTACCTAGGTAACTCGTGCTCCTTCCAGTCCTTGATGTGGGAACCTGCGTAAAGAAAACGTCCGCTCAGAAGACTAAAGCTGTGAGTCAGCTCCGGCCTTGGCTACCCCAAGGCCCGAACCTGGTCCTCGGCACTTAACCCTGTGTTCTCCCCAGAAAGCCCCACTTCAGGCTCTTCAATCCCTTCCCCCGACCTCCAAGCTAGGTCGCTCCGCCCATAGTCCTCTGCCACCACCAAGACCTCTCGGCCCTCCGCCCGATTTCCAAACCCATGGACAAATGCCTGCAGACCCCTCCCACCTCAATTCCAGCCTCTCTTGCGCCTCCGCGTGGTTGTCGTCACCGTAGGCCCAATCAGGCTTTCTCCGGAAGTTCCGCCTCTTTGCCAAGAAACTACACAGAACAGCTGCCATTCAACTTCTCCCAGCGAGCGCCGAGCTGAGCCTAGATCCTGACCTTAGGGTGCCCTTCCCCCAACCTTTCACCTCAAGGCGCAGCCGCGCGGCTCCATCGGGGGGGGGGGGAATCGGAAATCGGTTATTTCTGCCTGTCTCCGCCCAGGAGCGCGCGCTTTGAGTGCCGGGGTTGTAACCTTGTTCCCGCGCAGTTGGGAGTGGCGGTCTGTCGACTGTCTTCCGCGACTTGGGATCCCACCCTAACCCTTCAGGGGCACGGCTGCTTCCTTTTTTCTATCCTCTAGTAAATTCTTCCTCCACTGGTCTGGCTTTCCCTTAGGATCCCTAGCTCTGTTCCTGCCCCAGGATGACTTTTTTCTGGGCGGCGTTGTGGAAGCCTCACACAAGAGCCCTGTCCCCATAAGACCCCACTGGTAATTCTCCAACCCCGTCATCATGAACGGGGTCCTGATACCCCATACGCCCATCGCTGTGGACTTTTGGAGCCTGCGCCGGGCAGGTTCCGCGCAACTTTTCTTCTTGTCCCATTTACACTCGGACCACACCGTGGGCTTGTCTAGCACCTGGGCCCGGCCCCTGTACTGCTCCCCAATCACTGCCCACCTCTTGCATCGGCGCCTACAGGTATGAGTGGCTGGAATCAGTCTCCAAAGAGCTGGGCCAGGCATCTGGGGGGGACTCCGATCTCAAGGGCTGAGACCTTAGAGGGAGGGAATATGTGTCACAGCCTTGGAGCCTAACCGAGTAGGGACAAAACTCATTGCCATCGAGTCAATTAAAACTCATAGCCACCGTTTTAGGACAGAGTAGTTGCCCCATTGGGTTTCCGTTTCCAAGGCTGTGAATCTTAGGGAAGCAGACTGTCTCATCTTCCCCAGAGCGTCTGATGGGTTGAAACCATCAGCCTTTTGGTTAGCAGCCAAATGCCTTAACCACCACACAACCAGAGCTCCTTAAGAATCCAACTAGTGTGCTGGTTAAATGTGCAGATTCTTCATGCAGCTCTTCTCCAGGACACCCTGTCTGATTCAGTAGATATGGTTGGTGCAGGTCTTAGAAATCTGGCTGTAATTTTAAAAATCAAGTAAAATTAGGAAAGCTTGGGAATCACTAACTACACTGTTTTCTGAACTCTTGTACAAAGGGTAGGGTGGAAAGAGGGAAGAGGAAGGACTTATTGCTTGAGGTCCCCCATTATAGCCTCTACTCCAGGGATTCTCAAGATTTGGTCAGCTTTCCCTGATTTGGGAAAGGGATAGTCCCTGATCCAGGGAAGTGTGAAGGAGGAGAGTCTGTGGTCACTGGGATTACCAGCTGTTTCCTCAGGTATCTAAGCAGTGGATCCGAGCCCTGGAGGTTGGTGAGAGCCACGTACTGCCTCTAGATGAAATTGGGCGAGAGACCATGACTGTAACCCTCATGGATGCCAATCACTGCCCTGGCTCTGTCATGTTTCTCTTTGAAGGATACTTTGGAACCATCCTCTACACAGGTGGGTCTTGAGGGGTCCCTCCCACCTTCCCACTACTTTTCTTGAGCAGTCTTAACTCACAATAGAAGCAAGAGATCATCTAGCTTCATCTAAGAACAGTGATTCTTTCTCAATCAATTTCCCACTTGTATACTTAAAAAATGAAAGAGGAATGAGGAAATTTCCATAAAGAAGATATACACAAAGAAGTCCACTGCCTAACCAGGTGATAGTTTTTCCACAGGCCAGTAAACAGATGCCCATCTGTTGTTGAGGTTGGGCGAAGCTTGTCTTCTGTTCTTTTGACTTTTACCTCTGTGGTAACACAGTGACTACCGACTCTCTTCTCTAATACTTCCTTGATCAGGGACTATTCCTTTCCCATATCCTGAGACTGTTCCTGACCAAATCCTGAGACTCTGTAGGGCAGAAGCTATTATAGGGATTCCCAAGCAATCCTCTACCCCTCTTTATATTCTTCCAGGTGATTTTCGATATACACCGTCCATGCTAAAGGAGCCAGCACTGAGATTGGGGAAGCAGATCCATACGCTGTACCTAGATAACACCAATTGCAACCCAGCCCTAGTTCTTCCTTCCCAACAAGAAGCTACCCGCCAGATTATCGAGCTCATTCGAAAGTACCCAGAACATAACATAAAAATTGGTGAGTGGTTCCTTTTCCTTTTTCTCACCCATTGCCAGTGAATCTAGCTTCTTTGAAGCTTCTACCTCTTTCAAGTCTTTGCATAGATCTCACCTCCTCCATGAAGCCTACCCTGACCACCTTATGTAAAGCCACCTGCCTATCATCACCACCTCCACATTCCTAACTCCTGATCCAGTTCTACTTTCTCTTTTTTCACAGCACTCATCACCTTCCAATATACTCTATCTAGTTTTTTAAATGCATTGCTGCACATACACATTTCCCCTATGACACACACAGCTGTAAATTCCTTGAGAATATGGATGAAGGTGAGAAAGAACTTTTATGTTTATGTTATTGAGAAGCAGCAGCCAGTGAGACAGGAGCACAGGAAGTGAAGGAGAGAATGGTGGGACTAGACCAAAGACTACTTGTAAGCCATTTTGAACTTGATTCAATTAAAACCATTGCTTTTAGTTCAAAGAGCTGTTGAGGGTTTTAAGAAGAAGAGGGACATGATTGCACTTATCGCCTTACAATATATTACATCATTTATTTATTTACTGTATTCTGTTTTTATTGTTTTTCTCCCTTTGCTAGAATGTAAGCTCCATGATGGGGCTCTTTGTTTTATTTATGGATATATCCCAAATGCCTAGATTAATGCCTGACAGAGGCATTCACAATACTTGTTATATAAATGAATTACATATATTAGAACATAGGATTTAAACGTGTGTTGTGCTTTAAATTAGATACTTTGAAAAAACAGCAGCATGCCTGTTATTGTTATTCTACAAAGGTACAAAACATTTTTCATACTCTACTTTTGGAGCTGTCTTTTGAGGTAGTTTATGAAACTCAATTTTTTTATTTAAAAAATATAGTAGATTTAGTTCTAAATTATTTTTTGCTGTTTCTAAAATTATCACAAGTCAAGAGGAAAAAGATTTGTCATCATTATGAATATTTTAAGAGGCTATGCCCCAACTCTGAAAGGAGTTTCAAAGTGGGGTTAAAAAAAAGCATTGAAAATTGTATAGCCTTTCAGGATGACTACAGATTGATTAAGAAATAGCCCCTACTCTCAGGATTGCTTGAATGCTTATCAGTCATTGAGGAGAAATACCAGTCCTATGAGTAGACTAATCAATGTCACTGAACAGTACCTGTAGACATTGTTCAGTGGGTATATGATCTGCTGTGTATATTTTTGCCAGAAATAAATATTTAAAAAGAAAGAAATATCAGTCTTAAGTAGTCTTAGGCTTTTCAATGAAGAATTTACACAGTCAGAGCACAGCAGTGCTGTAGTAGGGGCTTAATTAATTTTGAAAATATTTAATAAGCCTCTACTATATGTCAGATCTCTGGTGGTGTAGTGCCTAAGGCATTTGACTGCTAACCAGAAGCCTGGTCGTTCAAATCCACCAGCCATTCCTCAGAAGGAAGATTGGGCAACCTACTTCCATAATGATACCACCTCAGAAACCCAAGGAGGAGTCACTGTGAATCGGATCCGACTCGATGGCAGTGAGTTTGATTTTTAGTTATGTGTCAGATCAGTCAATTTCAGACTGCAGAAGGTGGTAAAAATCTTTCATTTCTTCATCTTTGCAGTTAGTAGTTGGTGCATAAATTTGAATGATAGTCAAATTAATTAGAGTTTATTGTAGGTGTATGGATATTACCCTATCACTGACGACGTTTTACTTCAGGAAATATCTTGAAGTGTTTTTTTGATGATGAATGTAACAACATTCCTCTTCAATTTGTTATTCCCAGCATACTAGACTATATGATTGTCAGATTTTAAATGGCCCATACCAGTTCATTTTAGCTCACTAATATCTAGGACATTAGACAGATTAAGACAGACTAGGAAGAAAGACCTGGAGTAGAAGAAGCTCCCATCCTAGGCATTAATGAGCTGAAATTGGCTGACTTTGGCTATTTTGAATCAGACAGTCATATGATCTACTGTGCCGGGACTGACAAATTGAAGAGGAATGATGTTGCATTCATCATCACAAAGAATGTTTCAAAAAGTATCCTGAAGTACAGTGCTGTCAGTGATAGGCCATCCATTTCTCAAAGAATTGGCCAGTGAAAACCTTATGGATAACAGGAAAATGGTGTCTGACATATTACTAGAAAACTTTATGAGTAGTCCTGAAACATTGATATAATGCCAGAAAATGAGCCTCTTGGGTCAAAAGGCACTCAAAATATGACTGGGGAAGAGCTGACTCCTCAAAGTAGAGTCGACCTTAATGACATGGATAGAGTAAAGCTTTTGGGACCTCTGTTTGCTCATGTGGCATGCCTCAAAATGGGAAGAAACAGCTGCAAACCTCCATTAATAATCAGAATGTGGAATATAAAAAGTATGAATGTAGGAAAATTGGAAGTTGTCAAAAATGAAGTGGAATACACGCAAAAAAAAATAATATCCTAGGCACTATACCACCAGAGCTCCCATCCTAGGCATTAATGAGCTGAAGTGGGCTGGCTTTGGCCATTTTGAATCAGACAGTCATATGATCTACTACTATGCCGGGACTAACAAATTGAAGAGGAATGATGTCACATTCATCATCACAAAGAATGTTTCAAAAGGTATCCTGAAGTACAGTGCTGTCAGTGGTAGGATAATAGCTATATGCATACAGGCAAGGCCAGTTAATGCTACTATTATTCAAATTTACACACCAGCCACCAAAGCCAAAAACAAGGAAATTGAAGATTTTTACCAACTTCTGCATTATGAAATTGATCAAACGTGCCATAAAGATGTAGTAATCATTACTGGTGATTGGAATGTGAAAGTTGGAAACAAAGAATAATCATCAGTACTTGGAAAATATGGCCTTGGTGATAGAAATGACACCAGAGATCACATGATAGAATTTTGCAAGACCAACATCTTATTCATCATAAATAGCTTTTTTCAACAACATAAACAGCAGCTGTACACATGGACTTTGCCAGATGGAATACACAGGGATCAGATTGACTACATCTATGTAAAGAGGTGATGGAGAAACTCAATGTCTTCAGCCAAAACAAGACCAGGGCCTGACTTGGAACAGACAATCAATTGCTCATATGCAAGTTCAAGTTGAAGCTGAAGACAATTAAAAGTCCACGAGAGCAAAATATGACCTTGATTATATCACACCTACATTTAGAGATCATCTCAAGAATAGATTTGATGCATTGGATACTAGTGACCGAAGACCAGATGAGTTGTGGGATGACATCAAGGACATCATACATGAAGAAAGAAAAAAGTTGTTAAACAGATTGTAAAGATGAAAATAGATGTCAGAAGAGACTCTGAAACTTGCTCTTGAACATAGAGTAGCTAAAGTGAATGGAAGAAATAATTAAGTAAAAGAACATATTTCAAAGAGTGGTTCAAGAAGACAAAGTAAAATATTAGTGAAATGTGCAAGGACCTGGAGTTAGAAAACCAAAAGGGAAGAATACACTTGGCATATCTCAAGAACTGAGTGAAAAATTCAAGTCTTGAGTTGCAATATTGAAGGATTCTATGGGCAAAATATTGAACAAAATAGGAAGCATCAAGAGAAAGTGAGAGGAATATACAGTCACTGTACCAAAAAGAATTGGTCAACATTTAGCTATTTCAGGAGGCAATATATGATCAAGAACTGATAGCACTGAAGGAAGAAGTCCAAGCTGCACTGGAGGTATTGGGAGAAAACAAGGCTCCAGGACTTGATGAATACCTGTTGAGGTGTTTCAACAAACAGATGCAATGTTGGCGTTGCTCACTCATCTGTGTCAAGACGTTTGGAAGTGAGCCTAATATCACACACAAAATTCTGCTGAAGATAATTCTAAAATGATTGCAGCAGTGCATCAACAAGGAATCGCCAGAAATTCCAGCTGGATTCGGAAGAGTATGTGGAATGATATCATTGCTGATGTCAGATGGCTCTTGGCTGAAGCAGAGAAACCATGGATTTCATTTTACTTGGATCCATAGTTAATGCCCATGGATGCAGCAGTCAAGAAATCAAACAACATACTACATTAGGCAAATTACTGCAAAAGATCTCTTGAAAGTGTTATAAAGCATGAAAAACCACATAACATGGAGAACATTATGCTGAGTGAAATAAGTCAATCACAGAAGGACAATATTATATTAGTTCACTATTGTGAAAGGTCAAGGAAAAGTTTATATATGGAAGGAAACTTTCTTTGTTGGTTATCAGGGGAGAGGAGGGAAAATTGCTAGATAAGTAAGAGACAAGTATTGACTTGGGTGAAGGGAAAGGCAATACACCAGATTGAATAACCGATACAATAACACTAAGGAAAAGGCACAGAGAGGTACACAAGAGGTACAGAACATACAACAAACACTTTTACATATACAATACTGCATTATCAGTGATAACAAACAATCTATGGGTAAATAGATGGGTAGACAGGCTGAATGATAAAGTTTGTCTAGGCAAAGGGAATAATGTATCCATGACCATGTATAAGGCTGGCAGATGATATTTCTACATATGTATTTGTATGTGTTCTAAGAATGTCAATATAACTAGAACTAGCGGGGCAAAGTTATGATAACTTCTTAGGCACAATCAGCCACCCTAATGGAGCAAGTTGTTGGACCTGTGGACTCGGGACCATGGTCATGGGGGACATCAAGCTCAAAGGGCATAACGTACTACACAAAGGCATTCTACATCCTGCTTTGGTAAGTAGCGACTGGGGTCTTAAAAGCTTGCAAGCGGCCATCTAGATGCAACAATTGGTCTCTCCTCATCCAGAGCAAAGAAGAATGAAGAAAACCAAAGACATGGAAACAATTAGTCCAAAGCACTAGTGGACCATGCGAACCTCAGCCTATAAGACCATGAGACCAGAAGAACTAGATGGTGCCTGGCTACCACTGTCAAACACTTGGAAAGGGATCAGTGCAGGAGATCCTAGATAGAGTGGAAGAACAATGTGGAACAAAACTCAAAATCATAAAAGAGATCAGGTTTACTGGTCTGATAGAGTCTGGTGAGACCCCTGAAAGTATGGCCCCTAGTTAACCTTCAGGCCTGGAATTTAACTCACTCCTGTGGCTTCCAGCCAGACAATAGAATAGGCATATAGGGTGAACATTTACACCAGGTAGGTGCACTCCTTAGAACAGTCAATCATGGGAGAACCGAAGGATAGTATTTGCACAGGGAAATGGCTCGGGGCAGGAATGCATAGGAAAGAAGGACATAGGGAAGAAGTAACTACAGGGAGGAAGTGGGAAGAGGGCTGTTACATTGTGGGGATTGTAGTCAGTGTCATGAAGCAAAATGTGTATGAACTGCTGTATGGAAAATGAATTTGCTCTGTAAATTTTCACCCAAATCACAATAAAAATTGAAAAAAAAAACCCAGCAAGTGTTATAAAGCGATGATGATTAAGGTTCAACTGATCTAGCCATGGTATTTTCACCTTCCTCATATTAATGTGAAAGCTGGACAATGAATACAAAAGATTGAAAAATGATTGATGCATTTGAATTATGGTGTTGGCGAAGAATATTAAATATTCCTTGGACTGCCAGAAGACAAATCTGTCTTGGAACAAGTATAGCCAGAATGGTTCTTAGAAACAAGCATGGCAAGACTTCATCTGATGTACTTTGGACATATTTTCAGTAGGGACCGGTCCCTGGAGAAGGACATCATGCTTGGTAAAGTAAAGCGTTAGTGAAAAAGAGGAAGACCGTCAAGGAAATTGATTGGCACCATGGCTGCAACAGTGGGCTCAGACATAGCAAGACTGTGAGGATGGCACATGACTGGGCAGTATTTCATTCTGTTGTACATGAGTCGGAACTGACTCAACAGTACTTAACAACAGCAACAATATGCCAAGTATTCTGATGGGCTCTGAGGATAGAAAGATCAATAAAAATATGGTCTCTGACTTTGCGGGCTTACAATGTAAAGGACGTAAAAGGGGAGGAGGAGGATGGTGGAAATAAGGAAAGAGAAAAGAAAATCAGTTTTACATTTGTGCCCAAAGATGAGATTCTGAACTATGGTCAGGAATAAGCTATGTATAAAAGAAACAAAAATTATTTTCAGGAGTACACAATCTGCTTGTGGACTTGAAACAGACCTTCAGAAAAGGTCTGAAAATAACTATTAAACAACATCCGTTTCTTCCATTACCAAAAGCATTACCCAAATTTAGGTTTTCATTTCTTTCTATGTAAATATTGCGCCTTCTAACTTCTGCTTCCAGATTCTTATTCAAACCATTGAGTAACACTGCTGCTGCATTATCTTTTCTCTAAAGGCCTGCTCTGATCATGTTCTTCCTAGGAGCAGGAGTCTTTCTTTTCTCTTGTAACCTACAGACTTTTTGTTCTTTCACCCAGAATCCTCCTTTATCTGGCCCAGGCTAAGGTTTTTGGCCTAGTACTTCATTTTTCTTTATGCTCTTTCATATACTACCCTGTAGTCCAGTCCAAGTAGAATAATCACCATTCCACAAATATACCAGCGCTTCCCTGCTTTGTAATTTTGCTCATACTGGGCCCTTCTATTGTATTGGACAACTGTTTATCTCCTGCACCTCAAACAGGGTATCTACCCCACTTGATATCTACCCCAGCTATACCACAGATACCTCAGACATAACACATCCAGAACTGAAGTCATCATCCTATCTTTTGACCTATTCTTTGTCCTGAGTTCTGAGTCTCCATCAGTGACACTCTTCACCTCCATCAGCCCAATCTTCTTAGGTAGAAATCTTGGAGGCATTCTTACTGTTCTTTTCCTTTGTATCTATTTAATCATTCAATATTGCCCATTTTGCCTCCTAAATAATTCTTGAATCCACTCCCTTTTTCTATACCTATTGTTATATTTAGCTGCTGTCGAATCAGCCCCCAACTCACGGCAACCCCACACACAACGGAACAAAACACAGCCCAGTCCTATGCCTTTCCCATGATTGGTGGTGAGTCAGACTGTTGTGATCTATAGGGTGTGCATTGGCTCATTTTATGATGGTTCAGTGGTAGAATTTGCACCTTCCATGAGGAGACCTGGGTTTCATTCCCAGCCAATGTACTTTATGCACAGCACCACCTATCCCTTGTGGAGGCTTGTATGTTACAATGATACTGAACAGATTTTAACAGAGCTTCCAGACTAAAATGAACTAGGAAGAAGGGCCTAGTGATCTAGCTCTGGAAATATATCCCTATTAAACAAACAAACAAAACAAAACAAAGAATCTGCTTGCCACCGCATTAATTCAAACCCCCATACAATTTCCTAGGCTGCAATCTTTATGGACACAAACTACCACATCTTTCTCCCATGGAGCAGCTGGTGGGTTCAAACCACTGTCATTTTGATTTTTTTGTTAGCAGTTAAGCACTTAACCACTGTGCCACTTGGGCTCCTCTGTCCCTCAACCAAACCAAACCAAACCAAACCCACTGCCATGAGTCAGTTCCAACTCAAGTTTACCCTCTTGCTATGACAGCCTTTGTACTGGTCTTTCTACCTCTAGCTTTTTTTTTTTTCTTCTAAATATTGTGTTTTAGGTGAAAGTTTACACAGCAAATTAGGTTCCCATTTAACAATTTTTATACAAATTGTTCCATGATATTGGGTACATTTTTCACAATCTGTCAACATTCCATTCTATTATTCCAGTCATTATTTCCATTCTATTTGTTCTGTTTCTGTTAATCCACTTTCCCTGGCCTGCCTTAGTTTCTCATCTTTGTTTTTTTAGGGTAAATGTTGACCATTTAGCATTATTTTTTGAAGCACAGTACTCATGGTGATGATGTTTATTTTATAAGCCAATCTATTACTTAGATTAAAGGTGACCACTGGGAATGGCTTCAGTTCCAGTAGCTGTGTTCTCTTTATGTCAGACTTCCACAGAACCACTATATGACTTACCCAAAGTGCAGTTCTGACCAGGCCGTTTTCCTGCTTCATACCTTCAGTAACTCTGCTCCACTTAAGACCAAGTTCCTTAGCAGGGCAAACAAGGCCCTCTGTTATGGTCCTTGCTTACCTCTCCAGTGCCATTTCTCACCAGTCCCTTCTTTGTACTTTAATAACCCCAAAGTGACCCTCTTAAAATGTTCACCACCCTACTGAGTGAAATAAGTCAATCACAGAAGGACAAATACTGTATTCGTTCATTATTGTAAAAAGGCAAGGAAAGGTTTATATATGGAAGGAAATTTTCTTTGTTGGTTACCAGGGGTGTGAGGGGAAAGGGAGGAACACTGCAAAAATAAATAAATAAAAACAAAATGTTCACCAGCCCATTCCCTTGCCAGGTTAACTCTGACCCGTTCTTCCAGGCAGCTCAGTCAGGGTTCTCACCGCCTGGTAGTCCCAGGCCACTCCTCACATGCAAGATGCTACTTCTCGTGTTCATCAGTGGGTGGGTGGCTGGACCACAGCTTGTTGGGAAGAGAGTAGCGATGGACGTCTACCGCATTCTGAAACCCCAGAGTGGCTGCCTCATGAGTGGCCTCCTTCTGCAGTCCCTCGGGGCAGAAGAGCAAAGCTGTGGAGTTGCTAGCCTTTCTGGTGTCTCTGGGCAAACGATGTCTTTGGAAAGGATGTGTTTGATGTTTACATACACAGCTTGAAAAACCAGAAGATGGAAGGCTAATGTATATTGGGAATCTGGTCTAAAAAGCATTTGGTGTAAAGTGTTTTCCTTATTCTATAGGTGCGATCAGACTTGCTTTTCTACCATACATTTTTGCACAACATAATAATATATTTGGAAGTCTGCTCATGTAGATCTTATTTTTATGACATCATAGGAAGCTTTACAGTGATCACTCCAATGCTGCCTCACTTTGTTACAAAAGGCTGTCATTTGGTATCATGAGACCATGACAGACACTTACAGAGCCATTACTTAAAATGTTGTGCTTTCAGAAATGAGTACAATGCTTTACCAGAGTGATGTGAAGATTCCAGACAGCACCTAAATGTTTACTGCATTTTATGCTAAAACAAAATAATTATTAGTTAATCCAGTGCTCTTTCCAAACTCTGAAGACTTTAACCATCTAATGAGTTATGACAAACCATTCACTTTTGATGTGGAGTGATTTCCCCTCTCCCTCCCCATCACTGGTAAACACTAGTAAGCATTAGTCTCTCTGTGTGTGTGTATTCTTGTCTTCTTTTAAAAGTGGGATCATACAATATTTATCCTTATGTGATTGACTTATTTCACTCAGCATTCTGTCCTCCAGATCCATCCATGTTACAATATATTTCGCAGACTCATCATTGTTCTTTACAGTGTGTTTTATGGACTCCAGTGTATGAATGTATCACATTTTGCTTATCCATTTATCTGTTGAAGGGCGCTTAAAATTACTTCCATTTTTTTATGATTGTGAATAATCCTGCAGTAAACATAGGTGTGGCAGATTATACTCTTTGAGGACTGGGACTTTTTTTTTTTTTTTTTGTCTTCACACTGCCTAACACTTGGTAGATGCTTTTCTCTGCTGAACTAAATGAATGAGTGGATTCTGCATGCTGCCCCCACCATTCTTATATATCACAGCTCAAATGCCACTGCCTCCCTGATATACACCCTGACTGCCCGTGAGTTTTGTGCATTTTTGTTAAACATTGGTTGATTTATTAGGATTCCCCAATAGTTTCATTCTCTTCCTCCTCTCACTTCCTCTAATCCTTTTAACAAAACTTAGGACTCTACAGCCTGGGAAAGGAGTCCCTGCTGGAGCAGCTGGCCCTGGAGTTTCGGACATGGGTGGTGTTGAGTCCTCGACGCCTGGAGTTGGTGCAGCTGCTGGGTCTGGCAGATGTGTTCTCAGTGGAGGAGAATGCTGGCCGCATCCATGCCGTGGACCACACAGAGATCTGCTATTCCACCATGCTGCACTGGAACCGTACCCACCCTACCATTGCTATCCTTCCCACAAGCCGGAAGATCCACCGCTCCCACCCTGATATCCACATCATCCCTTACTCTGACCATTCTTCCTACTCTGAGCTTCGTGCCTTTGTGGCAGCACTGAAGCCTTTCCAGGTGATGCCCATTGTCAGTAAACAGCCTTGTAGGCACTACTTTCAGGACAGCCTGAGCCCCAGGCTCTCTATGCCCCTAATTCCAGATTCTGTGCAGCAATACATGAGTTCTTCCTCTAGAAAACAGAGCTCCCTCTGGCTGCTAGAAAGGAGGCTAAAGAAGCCAAGAACCCAGGGTGTTGTGTTTGAATCCCTTGAGGAAAATGCTGATCAATGTCAGCCTGACAGGGACTCAAAGACGATGAAGAAAGAGAACCTTTGTCCCAGGCTTAGGGACCTTGAGAAGCAGCCCTCCTTCTGTGCATTGCAAATCAAGAAGCAGTTGTTGCCAGACCACTACAGCAAAGAATGGGGTGGGGTCGTCCCTATCTCTGAGTCTCAGGGGATGGTAACTGTGGTGACTGCTCCTTTTGGCTTGTCAGTGCAGTTAAAGTCTACAGATGAGGAGTTTATCTCTCCAAAAACTAAAGATACTTGTTTAGGGCCCTACTTGATTCTCAGTGGAGACAATCATGGCCCAGCAACCACAAAGAACCAGAGCACTTGGATGGCTCCCTTGTCTCCCAGCAGCAGGGCTGCCCCTTTTCTGACTACTGAGTTAAGGGGCCTGGCACTAAAGTACCTCCTGACTCCAGTAAACTTTTTCCAGGCAGAGTTCTCTTCCAGGAGCTTTGACCAGCAAGTGGAAAAATACCATAGAACCCTTGCTGAAGTACAGAGAGTACAGAATGATAACCTTGTTTGATCTACCACAGCAGTTTTGAAGATAGTAACTGATGGTACTTTTTGTTTTGGGCCTTACCTTTTCATCTTCACAGGATCCCTAAGGGCTCACCCTGCAACAGGACTTCCCAGTCCCTATGAAATCCTTACTTTTGTAGTTGAATATGTTTGAAAAGCACTTTTCATTATAACCCCTTCACAGTATACATGAGTTCCTTAGAGGTTAACTTCATTTAACCCAGTATTTCTCAGACTCTTTTGAACATGTAGCCCTCTTATGTGGGTGCAGAACAGACACGGAGTCTGAATCAAAAAAGAGCAGAATGTTTCCCATTATTATTTTATGTGTCATGTCTCCTCCTTTGTGTCCCTTTCTCTCTCTTCCCAGATTAAAGTCCTTAGGTGGGTCTGTTAAGTTACGAACCACAGTGCTGGACAGGCAATGTGATTTGGTAAAGTGGCGGCCCAGGCAGTGTGTTCCAGTCCTGAATGTCACTGACCCCATCCAAATGACTTCCTGTTACAGCCTCTCAGAGGGAACAGAAGGCATTAAGAGGCCTTCTTGGATCAGTGGTGAAAAATTCCACCTCTGATTCCTTCATGAGGGACTGCAGTTACTGTCGCTGGGCACCCATCGAAGCACAGCCAGCTAGGGGGTTGGGTACCCCTCACCAAGACAGTACCTGCAGCCCAGCTAAACAAAAAAGCTCCTAGCTGCCTGGAGTCCCTGACAGTTTGGCTGAAGTAAAGTTACAGAAGATGAAATGTGCTGCCAGATGTTCCTCTGATTGTTAACATAGCTGGGATGTTTGCTGTTCCCCCCACCCCTTGGGTAGAGTTGGGAGCTGGAGCACACAGCCTGTTTGTTTTAGTATCCAGGGAAGAGACCAAGATGCCAGCTGGCTGGAAGGGGTAGGAGTGTGCAGTTATGCCCTGTCCTGCTTATGACCTGACAAAATGCCAAACCCATAAGCAGGCCAGCAGATACCACGGCCGTGAGGGAATGGGCTCTGACAGAAGGCACAGGCTTATGAAGCTAGACACATGAATAGAACTACAGAATGGAGCCTCAAACCTTTAAAATCAAGAAGCCTCCATTTCTTTGGCAGGGGGTGGGGTGGGTGACTGGTTAGTTTTCTGCTTTTGGAAGGAAATGTGAAGAGTTTAGAAAGCAAAATAAAGTCTTGCTCTTGGGCAAGCTGTACACAGCTCTGTTTTGTCAATGACCTTGGCTGTAAGCCTCCCATGGGCCTACTAGGGGATGCAGCAGGCGAGGCATGTGGTGTAGCAGGAAAACATGGGCATTGTCCAGGGCTTGAATCCAGGGCATCCTGGGCAAACTGCTTATATAATGGAGCCTCAGTTCCTCATTAGTAAAACAGGGACTAAATACCTGCCTCTCATAATTGCTCTGGAGATTAAATAATTGGTGAAATTCCTTACTCTGCCTGGTATATGAATGTTAGCTGACATTGAATCAGCCCCATCTCACAGTGACCCCATGCACAACAAAGCAAAATTCTTCCCAGTCCTGGGCCATCCCCATGGTAGGATGAGGTAGGATTATTGTGATCCAGTAGGCAATTTTCAGAAGTAAATTGCCAGGCCCGTCTTCCTAGCCTGTCTTAGTCTGGAAGCTCCACTGAAACCTGTTTAGTATCATAGCAACACATAAGCCTCCACTAACAGGAGGTGGCTGTGTATGAGGTGCACTGGCTGGGAATTGAACCTGGGTCTCCTGCATGGTAGGCAGGATTTAATTAAACCATTTCCATATTGTTCAACATTTTATGTGCTATTTTTTCACAATTATACATACTACAATGAGCATCCATATACATGTGTGTTGGCATTTCTGCTTATTTTCTGAAATTACTGGAAGTGGGATTACATTTTTAAACTCCTGTGCAAATTGTGCCAAATTGCCCTCCAGAAAAAGTTCTTGTCATGGTTTCTGCAAAAGAGGATAGCATTAAAATACTTCGAAGACTCATTAAGTTCCCATGATGTCATTAAAATGGCACATATTGTTGACACATGGAAAATCATCTTGTGTTAAGTCAATAAATATTTACTAAGCTGCATAGTAAGTCTTAGCCTGACTTCCTCACCTCTAGCTGTCTCAATTCTGTGTGGCCGAAAGGTGGCTGGGAGAGATAAGGTAATCTTCAGTGGAAGAGCCCCCATATTGGCATCTTCTAGCGATAAGGGGAGCATGTGTACTCTTGACACGTGCTGTGTCACACATGTTCCTTGAAGTGGGATTGATACGAATTTAGATGAGGAAGTAGAAGTAAAGGGCTTTGAAGAATTTAGTTGTTAGTGGTATGTTTGTGTTTTAATGGAAAATTCCTTACTATTCCCCTAAAGTAAATTTGTCTGGATTCTTAAAAAGATTGAGTTTTATTTGATTTTTCAGCACTCTCTCAAATCAAAATGTTGCATAGCATATATCTTTAAATAGCCAATTAAAATTAATTTTATTTTTAGAATCTAAGGATGACCCTATAGATTTATGAAGACATTGCAAGTTAGGCTTGACGGTGCTGGGAAAAGGAGCTCCCTAGCGGTCAGTTAGGAGCTCTGGTAGCATAGTGTCTAAGGCACTTGACTGCTAACTAGAAGGCTGGCAGTTCAAATCCACCAGCCACTCCTCAGAAGGAAGATGGAGCAATCTATTTCTGTAGTGATACGTCTCAGAAACCCAAGGAGGGGTCGCTATGAGTCGAGTCTGACTCTATGGCACATAACGACAACAGTGGTCAGTTAGTTATTTGTTTCATGATCTGTGGGAAAACTTGTACTTTTCCACAAGGAGACTTACAGTGTCTTAAGTCCCTTTACAGAAAAATCTCCCTGGCTGGCTTTGGGGGACCATCTTTCACTCTTGACCCAGATTGCCCTTTGTGGTAGGAAAGAAAATGAGTCAGTCGGCTTGTTCTTTTCTCAAGAAAAGGGATTTGGACATGGGTTCTCTATCTCAAGTCCACTTCCAAAAAGACAGTTTTGTCTGCATTCTTGGCAACTTCTTAAGCAGGAGAAATTCTCAGGTCCATGTGTGTGTATATATCTTTGTACATACCACTAGTAAGTAGCTGGCAGTCAGTCTGTTACCTGCTTTCCACCTTCCACTCTCCCCAGCCACCAGTTAGATGTTGTCAAGTTGGCTTCCATTCACGGTGATCCCATGTACAACAGAACAAAATGTTGCCAAGGCTTGGGCCATCTTCACAACGCTGGCATGCTTGAGTCCATTGTTGCAGGCACTGTGTATTTTAAGTGCCTTCCAACCTAAGGGGCTCAGATTTCTGTACTGCAGTATTCTGTTGTTATCCACAGGATTTTCATTGGCAAATTTTTGAAAGCAGATTGCCAGGCCTTTCTTCCTGGTCTATCTTAGTTTGGGAACTCTGCTGGAACCTGCTGGTGTTTGAAATACTGGTGGCATAGCTTCTAGCATCATAGTATGACAAACTGACAGACTAGTGGTCAGCCACCACTACTACATCAAGCTATTTTGTCTTGAGTTCATGTGCTTCCCATAGTTTCTTCCCCAAGACATCTACCTGCACAGGTACAGAATGAGTCTGCTCTCCCTTATAATCACCCCAATCTACAACTGCCTGTGGGGATTCTCAGAATGGTTAAGCTTGTCTTTGTTTTGAGTACAATGCTTTTACTCACCTATACCCTTCCCCCTTGATTATCTTATTCTTGGATAACTTTCTCTTTGAACACATTCTTGACTCATCAGGTCATAGAAAGCACCCAGAATCTTGGGCTTGGTTTTTCTAAACAGGTAGCTCATTGAATCATCTTTCAGTCACACAAAACTTCTGAACTAACCCTGAGTTAGTCTTGCCCTTAAAATATTTACATATTTAAAACACTCTTATTTCTGCTATCTTACCAGTCCTGGCTCCTCCCATAATTTATAGTACATTCGGGGAGCGGAGGATGAAGAGTTTGTGCTGCTCCCAGTGCTACAATCCCGTCCTTATTGTGCTCAGTGCAAGGTGTGCTCTTGAGGGGTCAGAAAGTTTGGGTCAGACTCATTCATGCTAACCAGCATTTGTAGAGACAAAGGGGCTTAGAGTGTCAAGATTTGGGGAAAACCTGCCTTCACGAGGGAGAAAACTTTAATCAGCTCAACTTCTTCAAATTCCCACCCAGTCTCCAGGTTTAAGGAGCCCTGGTGGCTCACACAGTTAAGCACTCAGCTGCTAATGAAAGGTTGATTGTTCAAACCCACTCAGCAGCTCTGTGGGAGAAAGATCTGAACATCTGTTTCTATAAAGATTGTTGTTAACTGCTGTTGAGTCCATTTGGACTCATAGCAACCACAAGTAGAACTGCCCCATAGGGTTTTCTAAGCTGTAATCTTCATGGGAGCAGATTACTAGATCTTTCTTCTTCAGAGCCACTGCATGAGTTAAACCACCAACCTTTTGGATAACAGCCGAGCACTCCACCATTGCACCACCAGGGCTTCTTCTATAAAGAGTACAACCAAGAAAACCCTATAGGGCAGTTCTTCTCTGTCACATGGGGTTGAATCTATACTATGGCACCTAACCACAGCATTTCTGGCTTAATCACTCTACTTTCTAATTTCCCTCTCAATTGTTTTTGTTGTTATGTGCTGTTGAGTCGGACCCGACTCATAGCGACCCCTCCTTGGGTTTCTGAAGGAAATTTCCCAACCTTCCTTCCAAGGAGTGGCTGGTGGGTTTGAACCACCAGCCTTCTGGTTAGCAGTCAAGTGCTTAGGCACTATGCTACCAGAGCTCCTTCCCTCTCAACAGTGGAATAAGAAACCTTCTTTTATTACCACCTACTAAGAAGACATTTTCTCTACTCATTAATTTCCAAGAATCCACACAATTCAGCATAACATTTTAGGTCTACATGATGCAAGGCCCAACCTATCCTTCTGGCCTTGTCTCCCAGGACTCTCCTATCTGCAAGGCAGTGTACTGTAATGGGAAAGGCATGGAGTTAGAGGATTGGAAATAGAGATCC